ATTAGCAGTGCCTTCATTGTAGGTCGATGAATCCTAGTCCTCGAAATAGCTATTTAAAGCAACGATTACTTCGGAAATAGACTAAAATCTCTTACCACCTAGCCATTTTTTCTGGTTTGGGAACAAATTATAATTTCTGGGAGCCAAATATGGGGAATAGAGTACAGGGAAGTTCTTAGCCCCCTGTGGCCTTTGTGCAGGGATGAAAATGCGGCCCCTATATTTTAAAAGAAGTAAAAAAAAAAATGAAATACTACTATGTATTTATATCTAAGTGGGCTTTCACACCTAAGTAGCATGCAACGTGCGCCTTGCTGCCAGAAAGCAGAAAGCACATTGCAACTGGCGTCTTTGCGATTTACTTTCATACCAAAGTCGCTCAGTGCGACTTTTTTTATCATCAGGCCTCCGTTGGCAAAAAAATAAAATAGTTGTGAAGATGTCGTCGTAAGAAGACACTATTGCGTTAATTGATATAATGATTGTAAGGAGGAGGAGAAGGAAAAAAAAGAAAACTGAGATAATGCTGATACATAGAGAGCGGCATATATGCAAAATGCATATATATGCATTTTTTGCATATTTTACCAAAGTTCAGAAAATATTGCATATTTTTTCAAAATTCAGAAAATATTGCATATTTTACCAAAGTTCAGAAAATTTAAGAAAATATTGCATATTTTCGAAAAAAAAAATGTATTACTATACTGTGCAAATCAAAAACTGTTTTAACAGATTATACAGATATATTTGAAATAAAGACCTTTTAAATTTTTGTATTTGTTTTTAAGTGTAACTTCTTGTAAATTCTTGTTAATTAGTTTTTGGAAGGTGGCATGCACTGGGTTTTTACCTTCTTAAGGTAATTGTTAATAGATGGTATTTACACAGATAAAGTATTACCTACAATGCAATAAAACGGTTTATATAAAATTCTCAGTAATTTCTTGTAACCAATCTACCCTCACATCGGAATATTTTGAATGTTTTTCATTTAGTTTAATGAGATAGTATCCTCGTTATTTTCCTAGTGAAAAGTCTTGTAATAATTTGTTGTTTTAAAAGTGTCTTAAAATGTCGAGAATTTCTTCGTGGATTATTAACTTTCCAGAGTTGGAAATCAATGGGGATAAAATTTTTTGTAAAGCTTGTGCCAAAATAGTGGTTTGCGAAAAAAAGTTCAAAATGGTTCAACACGTGAAAACATCATTTCATAAAGCCAAATTGCAAAAAATGAAATCACAACCGGTTGAACAATGCGTTGTGAGGTCATTTCAAAACGCCGACAAAACAAAAAGTGACAAGGAGGTATTTAATCAGGACTTGTGCAAAGCTCTTGTTGCGGCAAATATTCCATTAAAGAAGTTACAAAACCTACATCTAAGAGAATTTTTACAAAAATATTGCAATCAAACCATTCCTGACGAATCTACACTCTATCTATAAAAAAAAATGTACATGCTATATATATAAATGTAATAGAAGAAATTAAAGTTTTACTGGATGATAGCAATTTTTACATCATTGTTGATGAAAGCACAGATGCTTGTGGAAGATATATGGTACATCTTATGATTGGAGCCTTAAAAGAAAATGAACCAGGTACATCATATTTAATTGCATCAAAACAGAAAAAACTAACAATACAACTGTTACCCGATTTATTCAACAATCTCTAGCAGAATTTTTTTTACCAAATCAAATTCCCTCAGAGTAGTTCTTAGTGTTTTTGTCTGACGCAGCACCATATATGATAAAAGTAGGGCAAAACTTAAAAATATTTTATCCAAATATGGTCCACGTTACTTGTCTTCTGCATGGAATAAACTTAGTTGCAGAAACTGTGAGAACAGAATATCCCTTGGTTAACAAGCTAATTTCGAATGTGAAAAAAATATTTTTAAAAGCCCCTTTAAGAGTGCAGTTGTATAAAGAATGGTAGGGGTGTGTTTGCCCCCGGAACCCGTAGTTACGCGATGGGGGACATGGATTAAAGCAGCTATATTCTATGCAGAAAATTTTGAAGCAATTAAGGATTTAATTTTGGATATAGAAGACAATTCACAATGTATAGTGCAAAGTAAAGAATTGTTAAAAAATCCCCTTGTGTCTAAGCAACTTGTGTTTATAAAGGTTAATTTTAGTTTTTTACCTGATGTAATAACTTCATTGGAAAAGAAAAATTTAAGTTTAATCGAATCAACAAATGTTATTGCAACAGTTTCCGATAAATGTAACAATGTTCCTGGTGACATAGGCCTTAAGATTAGAAAAAAATTAAATACAACTTTATTAAAGAATGAAGAGTTCAATGAAATAAGGGAAGTGAAAAACATTTTTGAGGGAAAATTTTCCAAAGAAGTTTTACGTTGACCCTGTACATTACTTCCAAAATTACGGTATTGTCCTATTACTTCGGTAGATGTTGAAAGGACCTTTTCTATATCAAAACATATTTTTACAGACAGAAGACAAAAATTTTTAATAGAAAATTTCGAAAAATATTTAATTATAAATTCCTATTATAATATTACTATTTAATATTTTTATACTATTCTATACTTAACTTCTACTAGTTTTTGTGTTTCGTTTGTTTTAAATAAATTTTTATATTACATATTTTCGTTTGTTTTTTTTTTCGTGTAATGGCTTTGATAGCGTACCAAATTAGGAACAGCAATGTTAATTAGAACCCAACAGTGAATGGTGAAGTGGAAATATTCGCTAGGCATCAGAATTAATTTTTAAATAGATTAATTCATTCAAAAAATCGCGTCTCGGCTGGAATTTGAACCCGGAACCCCTAAGTCCACAGGCCAACGCACTAACCACTTAGCTACCCACCCCCTACTTTTTTTTAAGTATTTTTAACAAATATGCATTGGCATATTTAGGCATAATTGGACAAAATAACTGCATATTTTTGGTAAAAACGATGCATATATATGCGCATATTTTGTTATATTTTGATGCATATATTCCGCCCTCTACTGATACACATAACACGTTCATTGTATCGCAGCAGTTACAAGTTCATCCTCAAGAGTTCCAAAACTTCTACAGAATAGAAAAGGAAACATTTAAACATGTTGATTTAATGAAACCATCAATGCAGTTACAGGATAAAAATTATCGAAGAGCTATTACTGTGGAGGAAAGACAACTTAAATTTTTGAGGTAAGTACCTAATAAGTTAATAAATGCATGAGAATAAAAGACAACAAAATACTTAAACAATAATTTATTATAGGTATACTAAAAAATATATATAATATAAACCCTAAAATCGTTATTCGGTCAACGACGAGACAGTGAATGTTTAAGGTGTAGTTTAACCCTCATACCCAGGAGGATAATTTGGTGGATAGTTGCCTTCGTTGACGAGTATACTTCCATCGCGAAGGAAACAGAGTAAATTGGCCAGCGTCGTGTTTTGCCCTGTCATTATTAGACACAGAAGTGGAAGCACTCGCTGATGTTGATGTAGTATTTTTTTTGCAGCATATCGTCTAATGTCTGCAGTACTACACGGAAAAAAATGTGACTAGAAAATTTTACTACAATTTATAGTTAAAAACTATTAGTTATTGTAGCAATTGAATTGTCGAATAAAATGCTACAACAATAGGAAAGAAGTCCACAATGTTTAGTATATTTTACTATTGTTTGTAGAAGTAGAAATTTATTACAATTATCGTAATTACTACTACTAACTTCTGTAAAAATTTGTACAAATATTAATAATTATCTCTACAAAAAATAGTAATTTTCTCTACAAAAAATAGTAATTTTCTCTACAAAAAATAGTAATACTTTACATCCCTTCTTCAAAAATATTCTATAATATTGTAGAAATTCTAAGTCATGTGAACAAAACAGAATTCTGCTATTGGCCAACGTTTTCTGACGTCGATCATAAACGGCCAGACAGCAGTAGCCGTTCGCCATGTTCACATAACAAAGCATGGTACATATACGAGTACCTATAACACATTATTATATTATAAGCACCGATGCGTTTGAGAAAATTTTAATAATAAATTCTATTGGTGGTAAGTACATTTATTATTGTTTCTGAATAATTTACCTTTAGATAACTAATTTAAATAACCTTAGTAGATTATTTTAAAAAAATAGTTGTGGCCAACGATCGAATGTTGTGCCCAACGATCGAATTTTGTGCCAAGTTCAATGATGTTTTTTGTCTTAATTGTGACATACCTACTTTCTTATTTTTGTTAGTTATCTGACTTGGTCATTTAATATCCAAATCAGTGTAAAGGTGATAAATGTCCCCGTTTTAAGGGTATGAACAATTCAATTGGTATTAATTTTTATTTCATATTTTTCAGGTGCCGAAAAGCCAACTGAGACTGAGGGCGTTATTATTACTGTTATTTATTACATAATTTAATTAAGAATTTGTATCTTTTATATTAAAACAATAAACTGAATATTTTATTATGGAACATTTTTTTCTAGGTTATAATTATAATAATTATGGAATACTACTACAAATTTTATTAAAAATTACTACAATTTGTATGAATTTTTACTATTTATTGTGTGAAATTTTCGTATTTATTTTTATAAAACGCAATACATTTTTAATATAAATTCATACAATGAATAGCAAAAATTATAACAATTTGTAGAACAATTCTTATGATGCATTTGGATCTTTTTACTAAATATTGTAGATAATAACTCTACAATACATTCTCCACAAATATTTGGAAATTTTTACTACAAATTGTCCCTGTCCCTATATGTACTATTTATTGTAGAGAAAAATTCTACAATTGTAGAAATTTGTTCTACAATTTTTTTTCCGTGTATTACCTTGAATCTTTGTTTCTCCGATGTGTTTAAAGTAGCAATATTGGAAAGAATGCTTTTAAAAAATCTTAAGTCTGGGTTTTCAGGTTGTGTCACACTCTTTTAAATAAGGTAATTGACGACAGCATGCTCCATTTCATCCACTGGAGTTTTTGGCGAAATTAGGATAAATTAGTATCCAGTAAACCTGCTTTTGGATGATGATCAGGGGGGTGTCCTTCAGGACCGGTAGCTCTTAACTCATTGTCATCATCGTCTATACTGTACTGATCAGTTTCAAGCATTTCCTCTTCATCACTCTCAATAGTGAAATTGCCCAATTGGGGTCTTGATTTTAAGAACGATACCACAAATTGCATTACATCCCATAAATAGAATTTATTTTTTGATTTAGCTCAATTTCCACTTTTTTTAGTACACTGTTTAATAAATCTTGTGAGACTACCTCGTAGTATTTTCCATTTTTTCTTACATTTAGAGGCTAATACAAAAAGTATGCATGTAAATTTATGTTATTCGAATTTTGACGTTATAACTAAGAATATAATATTATCGTACACAATATTAACATTTTAAATTATTAAATATTCTTTTTGCTTTTTTTTAGGTTTTTATCAACTGGTTTGTCGTTTACGGCGCTGCGTTTTGAATTTTGTCGAGGAATTTCGAAGTAGCATTATTGCTGATACTGCTCAGAAATTGTGGATAGCCCTCCAACCACAACATATGGTACTACCTACAATATGGCAATGGAGATGTCTGCGAGATACTATGAACTATCTATCTGAATTAGGGCGTGGTTCAAACTTTTCAAAGCCCACTTGTACTGAAGCTCTAGGCTTATTGTACCCCTCACAGTTTCTATCCCATCAGATTGATTTTCTTGATGAATTCAAGAATATGTGTGATGGGCGCTTTCGCGATTTCTTCAGGTTCCGTATATGAACTATAGAATATGCCAAATTTCCTTATATGGCAAACACATAAGAATTAAGTATCCTAAAAATCAGCTTCATTTTATTTTAACTATAAAGGCTATTTTTCAGTAGTTTGAATAGCAAGTGCGGACGCAGATGGTTTATTCACTTTTATAAGTGTTGGTGACTATGAACGAAATAGTGATGGTCGTGTAGTTAAATCTTTCGAGTTTCTTCGCGCTTTTAGTGAAAATAAATTAATCATTCTACCTCCTGCTGCCTTACCAAATGATGAGAACAATTCCACGTTTCCAATGTTATTTGTAGGAGATGAAGCCTTCCCGCTTAATTACAATAGTATGCGACCATACCCCAGAAGAACCCTAACTAACTCTAAAAGAATATTCAACTACAGAGTTTCGAGGGCTAGAAAAAGTGTTGTGTGCATGTGGTAAGCTGGTTCAAAATTTAGAACTTTTGAAGGGCAAATTGACTGTGAATCAGAAAAAGTTGTCCATGCTGCTTGTACTATATGATCATAAAGACACGGGTACTTCTCAACAGTCTGAAGAAAGCCTATATTAAATTGTTCACCATTCACTGTTCTTACAGCTTTTTTCCTAGACATCGCGAAAAAACTTAATAATTAATTTATTAACTAGGCCACTAAACAAGTCAAACAACGCCTGCGCGGATTGGAAATACGAGCAAAGTAGCGAGTTATACCACCAGTTTTATATTTGAGTCGCACGCCGCATGTTGCCACGTCCCATTTTTGCGATGCCACTCTTGTGTGGAACCATTCATTAATTTGCTTCCTGCTTCCTGTCAGCCGGTCGCACGTTGCATGCTACTTTGGTGTGAAAGCCCACTAACAAGTAATATCAAAATATAAACCTTATTAATAATAACAAATATTAAAATAAAACAAACGAGAAAAAAAAAACCTGCGCATTTAATTTAAGCATAAACAAGCAGCAGTACGAAAAAAAACTACATTTTTTTTACTCAAATATTTTTCTGCCACAAGTAAACAAGTTTCCCAAAATAGGTATTTGAATAACCTCTACTAAACAGTTAACTTGGGCACCAGTTTGCTTACGATAATAATTTTTCTGAGACAGCTTTAATAACCACAATAATCACAAGTAAATAGTTCACTAACTGTAGGTCATCTAAAAACTAATTAAACTGTTCACCAACCACAGGTGACTAATTTCAGAAATCTTATTTTACTTACTATAAGTAAACATTTTACCTGTTCCATATAGTATACAACTTTTTTATTTGCGATAATTAAAAGTTCAGTTAGTGAATTTTTTCCGTCTACAGATGCTGTATTTGAAGATTTAAAAACAAGCTTGAAACAGCGTCTGTCCCGAACTAGCACATCAAATTGCTGTCTAGGAACTTCAACGGTCAATGTCTTTATGGTCTGGCGGTAAGGGCATTTGTGTACAGAACAAAGATGTATGGGTTCGAACCCCGGTGACAAGATGCTCTCTTTCAAATCTTCCAAGTATTTGTTTTCATCTTTAAGGTTTGGAGATTGTCTTAATAATTCGTAGGGGTATTTTCGAGATTTGTTTCCGAATTTTCAAAATTTCTAAAATTTAATGATTATTGTAAATTACAAATTTCGAGAAGAATATATAAAACCAACTTTTACAGTTACAAACAAATTACATATAAATCGTATGACATTTTAAATAATTTTTTATGGACATCAATAAATTACTTTCATGCTTTTTAAAAATAGACCTTTTGAATTTAAAATTATTTTCATGTTTCCTCTAAGTCAGTTCTTTTTCAACCCTTACTTCACTCGAAGTAAAAGATGTAACACATGTCTTTAATATTTTTTAAAAACTGGGATGCAAATTAACTAACATGATTAAATGTAATTGCTGAACATTGATGTAACTAATTAACCTTACTTTTATTACGAATATTGTTCCGGATGCAAGTTAAAAATTTTTAAAAAAGGACATTTTTATAGTGTTGGTAGTTAAAGACCAATTTCTATTATTTCTAGTGTCAGTAAAATGATTGAAACGGTGATAAAAATTCAAATAGTAGCCTATTTTGAAATAAATAAGATTATTTAGCCTAATTTTTTATTGAATTGTGCAGATAACGAAAGAGTATCTTGCTACTTGGATTTACAGTCGCATCTACTATTCTTGGCAAGTCACTAGTAGGTAGTAAGTATAAAATGGATAATAATAATAATAAGAACATTATCCTTAGTCACTCCAGCTTTTATTCCTCTTCTCCATTCCACAACTTAGCTTTAGCGTGTTGTTATTTTAATTAATGACGTTTTCATATAATAACTATACCTATTTTACAAAATTGAATAGAACTTCAAATAATAAACGAAATTGCTAAAGCAGCAATCCCATAAGGTAATTATTTTCACATTTTTAATAGCTTATATCTAAATAAAATTGATTTCAATCTCAAACATAGATATCTACTTCATTTTCTTTTTATCAAACTTTTCAACCATTTTAAAATATGATTAGCTTCTATCTAATAAACAAATTTAAAACCATAATTAGTGAAATCCCAGCAAAAGAATAAAGAAGAAACGCCTAATTAAAATATTAAACGACTTTATAAACCTTACATAAGATGATCGTTAACATTATAAAAAAAACATTTATCAAATCCTGCAATAGTCGATAGAAAATTCAAATTAAAGCCTTATTAAATCATTATAATTGATATAAAATTAGAAACTAATATGGTAATAAAGTTTATAATAAAAATGTCAATATGTATAGAGGTTGTTTGTCTAGTTCGCAGAACATTCCTCCACCTATTGTAATAAATTAACCAATTTTTCAATTATTGATGAATTTCAACTTCACCATATACTTAGTGTAAAATAATCATTAATCAAAAGTAAAAAAGTTTAAATGTTTATTTAATAAAATAGCAGCCATTTTAGACCATAAATTGACATCATATGTTCTTTCTTTTACCGTTTTTAAAGTACTACCTACTTTTTGCAGTTCGTAAAATTTTACTTTATGCACTGTGATACTGATAAAATATTTAAAAATTGCAAAAAGCAAGAAATTAGAAGCGAAAATGGTCGATTTTAAATTAATAATAGAGAATCGTTCATATACTACGAAATAACGGTCAAAACTTTGAAGCTTTAGACCGGAAGAATTATTGTGACGTAAGCAACGAAGATAAAGAAAAAGAAGCTTATAGAAGAACCAAAAATTTAACAAAGGACCCCGCATAGTGCTTATGGAAAAGTGGCGACTTTTTAAATCTCATAAATGTTTCTTTTACTAGTAAGTAGAGGTCATAAACAGTCGAATAGGCCATAAACGAAACCTCAACTAACCAAATCCCCCTTATTCCCTCCACAGTCCACATGATAAAATAATAGCCTAGCACAAATACCTTGTAAGTGATTAACTATTTGCCAGACTACTACCCTTGAGCCCTTTTACATTTTACATATTAATTCACTCATCATACCGTGCCCCTGCCAATTCATCACGTAACCAAAATTCGCTGGGTCGTTGAATCGGTGAATGGTTTAATAAAAACCTGGAAAGCTCTTGGGCAAGTTGTCCCCGAACAGGACCCCCCGCTAATTGTATTGAAACTACTCTTAGCGTTACCCAGAAACAACGACGTGGACGTGATAGGTATCGGTTTCTTTTGGGGTGCTTTATTAACGTGAGTCCCCTTGCCTCTCACTGGGGTGGTTTATTAACGTGAGTTCCCTTGCCTCTCACTGGGGTGCTTTATTACCGTGAGTCCTCTTGTCTCTCATTACACGGTTTTCAACTGTTCCTACTCACTCCTGTTCTTTATTTTCTGAAGCCTCGCTCTCAGACCAGTTTGCGGCATCAACTTGAAAATCTGCATACTGATCACTATGGAACTTTGGTTTTGTAGGTAAATGCCTATAATTACCCAAGTACCAAAGGACTGACGAAATATGCACACAGCATCCTACAACTAGAGAACCATTTTTACATTTGCAATGCCATTCTTGGATAGGGTCAAATCCTTCCTTAGTATAACGTATCCAAAGTTGATACTGATGTGATGATGTATCTTCTTCTTTGTGAACATACATTGTATAATAATTGTCTTCATCATCATCATTATCAGCGATTCTACTAGCTAAGTGCTCTCGAGTATAAGATGCTGCTTGCTTCAGTTGATAAACGCCGATGGTGAGTCTATGCAGATCAGCCAATGTTAGTCGAGGAAAGTCTTCAAGTGAAGAGCCGTCGACTTTATCCCATATAGTTACAGTTTTTCTTTCCCATCGATTGTCTTCTATATATTTCTTGAGGGTATTATCTTTACTACTGAGATTTAGCATCCTTTGTGCTATTACCTCATCATCTGGCTTTGAAGCTTCCCTTTTAAGTGGCCTAAAAGCATTACAAATGACACAAGCAATTCTGACATAATCCCTTATATGAGGGATTTGAGTATTGGGGACTACTTGCCCAAGAGCTTTCCAGGTTTTTATTAAACCATTCATCGATTCAACGACCAGAGTGAATGTTGGTTACCAATCGTGATGAATTGGCATCCAATGAATCAAGCTGTGAACTTTTGTCTAAAAATCTGGGCATCTTTGGTATCAACAAATTCTCTTCCAGTGTTTCTATTGAATCTCGGAAACCTCGGTCTACAATTAAGATGTCATCCGGTTGTACCCAACCCAACAATTCAGAACCTTTCTGCTTTATTAAGCTGTTCATTATTTGAGTATCATTGTTTTTGCCATCAGTGAAATAGGGGCCAAAATGTAGCCCGTAGTGCTGACTATCATCATTGGCTTCACCAGTTGTCTACCATTATGCATGGAAAAGCTGCGACGTTGGAAGGAATAATTGCGACTTTTCTGTATGTACACATACGTACCATCTGCAACTAAGATGGCAACCGTATCATCATCTTCTGCAAAAATTTTTTTGACAATATCAGTTGAATGATTATAATTAACTCCTCCCGAGACACATGATCCAAACCCAAGTGATCTGGAACAAAATCATTTATAAAAGCTTTTCTTGCTGAATCTATTGCTTTTCCGATTGATCTTCTAGGTATTCGAAAGAGGGTTTACAGAATTGTATGGGAAAGACCAGTTCTCAATTTCATGAGGCATATTGCCAAACTTGTGCGAGCGCTCCTAACCATGGTACTGCGTATACAATTTTTTACTTTTGCGAGAAGCTTATTAAAGTCTGCTGCTGAAACTCCAGTGAGACGAAAGTAATCTTCATTCTATAGTGCTCCTGGAGTATCAATATCAAGAGCTCCTTTATCGCAATTTCGTAAATCATTTAGGAGCTTAGTTAATTCCAATGTAGTGAAAGTAGTTCTTTCCTCTACTTGAGTAATTCGGTATAATTCTTCAGCTCGAAAAAAGAACCCTTAAAATGCCTTTTACAACATCTTGGTTTTCCATTCATGATAAGACCACGTTTAACGAAAACCTGAAGTTTCGTATCCGCAGGTATTACTACAAGAGGATTTTTTACTCTGCAAATAATGCAAGTGATACTATCCATTTCGTTATCTGAATTACTATCTGACATTCTAAAACAAAGTCTTTTATTTAACGACAAGCCAGAAACCGACAAAACAGAACCCTGAACCCTTAAACTAAAGCTCATACGCTGAACGGTAAACGGAAACTCCAAACTAAAATCCCAAACAAAACCCCCAAACTGTACAACTGAAGCCTCCAACCCTAAAGCTAAAGCCCACAAGTTAAAACAAAAACAAAAAGCCCAAACTAAAACCAACAAACTCTCAAATCAAAACCCCAAACTAAAATGCCTAACAAAACCCCCAAAAAGTACAACTAAAGCCCGCAAACAGACAAAAAACTCTAAATCTTAAACTGAAACTACAACGGAAACCTCAAAGCAGAAACGCAAGCTAAATTCTTTAAGTAAAAAACATCGCAACTCAAAATTAAAAAATCCCAAACTGTACAACCTTCAAACAGAAATGCAAACTCAAACGCTTAAACTAAAATGCTAAAGCAGATACTCTATGACACTGAAACCTCCAAACTCTCAATTACAACCCCTGAAGCTCAATTGCAATCTAAAACCTTTAACCGGAAGCCATCAAACTAAAACCCTAAAGTAAAAAACTCTAAACTTTCTATCTAGAAACCCTAAATGCATAGTAAAACTTAATCATACAAACCGTTTTACTAAAACCTTCTTGCAGAAAGATAAGTCAAAACCCTAAACCAAAAAGTTAAGTCTGAATTGTTTCCGGTTTTACTTACGTTAATAAAGCATCAAAGTGCGAGGCAAGGGGAATCAGGTTAATAAACCACCCCAATGAGAGGCAACAGGACCACGTTAATAAAGCACCCCGGTGAGAGGCAAGGGGACTCACGTTAATAAAGCACCCCAAAAGAAACAGATACCTACCAAGTCCACGTCGTTGTTTCTGGGTAACGCTAAGAGTAGTTTGGGGGGGTAGGGTATGATGAGTGAATTAATATGTAAAAGGGCTTAAGGGTAGTAGTCTGGCAAATAGTTAATCACTTACAAGGCATTTGAGCTAGGCTATTATTTTATCATATGGACTGTGGAGGGAATAAGGGGGGGGGGGATTATTTAAGGTTCCGTTTATGGTCAAATCGACTGTTTATGACCTCTACTTACTAGCACAACAAAATTTTTTTGTTTTCGAAAAAACAAAAGGAGCCGAAAACCGGGATTAGATGCCCTCCTCCAAATTTAAGATCTATTTTGTACAAATTTAAATGCATCAGAAAAATATAAGATAAAATTCAATTAAAAATGCTGTATTATTCATTGGTATACTTAGATATTTAGTAAGGAATTACAGCTTGGGGAGGTGCTTATAATTATCATATCAAACATCTTGAAATTATATAGAATAGAAAAAATTATTATCCAACACAAAAAAAGACACGAGCTATTAGATATTCAACATGAACACAATACACAGCATTAATTAAGAATGAATACGAAAACAATAAAAGTTTACAAATCAGCAACCCAAAAAAGTGTCATATATAGCGCCTTACATATATCGCTTTGTGTCTGAAAAACTTAAAGAAATAAAAAATTCTAAAAGTTTTAATAAAAATATGAAGTTCTGGCTAAAAACCTATCCGCAAAATACATTTAAATATTTATTTGAATGAAAGTTAATATTGTCATCAATATTTTGTTCACTCACTCTTCTTAATTAATTTATTTATTTGATTTATTTGTATGTATATATCATTTATTTATTTGATTTATTTGTATGTATATATCTATATCTAGGTAGATATTATAAAAAAAATAATTTGTAATAATTGACTTTTTTAAAAGGAAAGGTAAAATATAGTATTTTCCCACGTACTTGTCATAAGACTTCATTGGAGATATTTATTTTCCATCTTCATTTAAAAAAGTTAAAAAAATTAAAAATATGTTAATTGTAAACTTTGGAAAATAAAAATTAATAATATTATTATTATAACATTCTAGTCGATTCTCGATCGCCAGCGTCAGACGTAACGGCAGCGAAAATCAACGAAGAACACGGACGGACAATATAATATGCCAATCGGTAGAACGTTAACATTTGCCAACATGAATAATTTGGAAATATTTGGAATGAGTTTCAAGTAATATCAAAATCATATAAAAAAGAAGAATTATTAATGGCATAAATAGATGACATATTGCTCACCGGCGACAATAGTGGCACATCTAAGAAAACAACAAAACACGTTAAAATACGTGAAACAATTTAAAATTTGATGAAATTTCATCCAATAATACTGGCATAAAAGTAGGTCAAATAATACCTTCGAGATGGCGCATGTGCCACTACGGGCTACCGCGAGCTGAACTCCTTAAGTTGCATCAACACCGTCATATTTTCAGTGTTCCGTTAACTGTGCTTAATGACGCTTCGTTATGTTTGAGCAATAGTGGCACATTTTATGTGTTTCAGTTATTTTAGTTAAATATGCCAGTATAGTTGTCACGTTGTGTTGATATATTTGATTTATACCGATATTGAGTTCAGACTCATCTTCTTCATCATCAAGTTCAGACTCATCTTCGTCATCATGAAGTTCAGACTCGTATGATGACGATAACGAAGGTGAAACAGCTACCAAGAGTCTAGGAGACACTAGCGAATCATATAAAACGGAAAAGGAATTAATAGTTCCAGAACGCCAAATGAAACGGCCGTGCAAACAAAAATGCAGTACCAAATTCACAGAAGCAGAACGGTTGGCCCAATTTAAAAAAAAACCGGGACATGGATGATATTGTAAAACAACGTAACTATATTTTATTGCTCATTCAAGAAGTTAATCCTACATACATATTATACCCCCGTAATGCCTTAGGCAGAAATACAAACCACGCAGTTTTTTTCTTAAAAGACGACAAAAATTAAGAGTTTGTAAGTACTTTTTCATAGCTACACTAGGCATTACTGGGCGCAGTTTTCGAACAAAACAGTTAAAAAAGATTCTGCTATAGCCGAAGATAACAGAACATTTTAACCATAAAGTTTTCAAAGACATTAAAGACAGTGTTCGATCCCACATTTCGTCAATCCCTACTATTAAAAACCATTATACATGAGCACATTCCGAAAAACTTTATATAGACGGAAGACAATTGCTCAGTTACATCGTGATTATAAAGAAGAATGCGAAAATCAGGGAAAACCTTTTGCTAATCTCACTATGTACAGAAACATATTCAACCACGAGTTCAATATAGCCTTATTTATTCCTTAAAGGATCAGTGCCAAGCCTGTGTATCCTATAAAAATTCCACAGAGGAAGAAAAGAAAAAGTTAAAGAAGGAACGTAACACCCACATCGAGGAGAAAATATTGAACAGAGAAGAAAAGGAAAACGACAAAAAGAGTACTTCTTCTTTATATCAGGTAGCGTGTTTTCATCTGTAAGCCTCTCTACCGACACCAAATGGACAATTATCCTCTTTCTACTATAAATCAAAACTGTCTACCTACAATTTTACTGTGTCGAATCTAACATCAAAGGGGCAAGGATTAGTAAATTGTTACATGTGGCACGAAGGTCAGGGTAAGAGAGGGGCAGTTGAAATAGGCACTTGCCTATTGCATTATTTTAAGGAAATGGCTGCTGTGTGTAATACTGAAGATTTCGAAATAGTATTGTATTCTAATAATTGCACAGGCCAACAAAAAAACATTGCAGCTTACCTTTATGCCGTGGCTAAGTATAACATTAAGGCAATTACTCATAAATACCTTGTTACCTGGACACACCCAAAATGAAGGCGATAATGTCCATTCCTTAATTGAAATAAGCATCAAGAGATCTCTTAAATCTAGCCCTATTTACACGTCATCTCAGTATACAGCT